TGTGTTCTATGATTTACTCCTAAAAGTACCAAAGATTAGAAAAGAAAAAGAAGAGAAAAAGGAAGAAGAAAAAGAAAAAAGAAAGAAAACTAAGAAGAAGAGAGGCTAGGGTTTTCATTTTAAGGTCAAGAATGATGAGAAAATGGTTGAGTTTGCCTTTTAAAAGGCCCAAAAATCGTGTTTGGTTAATTGCAAAATGGTCACCAATTAAAAAATCTAGCCAAATAGGTGCAGCCGCGACGTCCTAAAGTGGCACGGCGCTGCAAAGCCATAGTGGACAGAGCTGCGGCGTCGCGATGCCGCTCCAATGCCACCTCCCATTTTTCCTTATTTATAGCTCGGGCCCTCATGTTTTCACACTAGATCCCTCAACTTTGAACTTGTACAAATTTGATCTCGAATTTTGACTTTTATTTCAATTTTGCCCTCCAAAAATTGCAACTCTAGTTCCTTGAACTTTCGGACCTTTTGCATTTTGGTCCTAACTTCACAAAATTGCACACTTTTAGTCCTTTTTTTCCTCCTTTTGCTTTGTTCTCTTTCCTTAAGTGATTTTTGGCCTGCAAAAGCAAATATTACATAATTGTGAATAGAATTTAATTCATTTTCTCATCAATAATAATCATAGTTACATATTAAATAAGTGTGTAAAAACACACTTATCAATGCCTTTGACCATGTGGAAGTAAACCATCTGCTTATCCTAATTTTGAGTACACTATAAGGGTTTACCAGAAAAGGCATTGTGCTAAGGAAAAGATAATTCCACTATCGTCATTTGCACGATGCCCAAGGTTGCTCATTTATTTTTGGCTTTCTTGGTAGTAGCAACAGGTCGACCTATAATGCGGTCCTCAAAAGGACACCATAAAAGTTGTCATCTTCATAAATCACCTTGTTATAAAATTTCCTAATGAAGCTATAGTGGCAACTGTAAAAGAGGATCAAGGAGGTCCCAGAAATGTATCTAAATTTCATTTGCAAAGCTATTATTGACTTGAGGTGATCTATATCATGATGGTGGAAACCGTGATTAGAGATGCATTGATAGATGATTTGATGGTCGAGGCACCTACAAATGATATAGAGATGGAAAATATAGAGAAAAGTTTCATGGAAAACCTTGACCCGTAAGCCATAGAATTGCAATCGCCAATTTTTCGATCGAGAAACTCAAGTGTACCTATAAGCCGATATGGCACCAAAGTATTCTAGTTTGGAAATAACTTGTCCAAGAAAATGGGAAGGGAACTCATATAGTTTTCAAAAAGGAACTGGATATTTTTGCGTGGAGACATGAAGACATGGCAGGGATTGATTTGAGTGTGCCGTGCCATGCTTTGAAATTAATCCTAAATTTCTTTCCCACAAGAAGAAGAGGAGATCCCATCAGCAAAGAGGTAATTTACTATCTGACCAAAGAAAGACCGTCAAATGGATCGTGGAGTACGGAACTAGTGCGCGGATCATTACGAGTAATTTTTTGCCTATCGCAACGCAATTTGAATCAGTATCGAATTGAAAAATGTAGCTTTGAAAGAAGTGTCTGACATGATATCAAATTGCTTCATATAGGAAGCACACTATTCAAAATGCGTGTCAAACTTAATCCTCGTTTTCCAAAAGGAAGTTTTAAATAGGCATTGACTTCTTGGATTTGAATAATGCATACCCGAAGGATAGCTTTCCACTCCTTACTTTGGTCACTGGTTGATACAACAGCTTACACGCTATGCTGAGCTTCATGAATATTTAATCGTGCTACAGTTAGATCTTTATGTATGGATTGAACAAAGAACATGCCTATATTGTTACAAGGTGATACTTTTAGGACTGAAGAATTCTAGGGCTATTTACAAACAATTGGTCAATCAGATGTTCATCAATAAGATTGAAAAAACCATTGAAATATAAGTGGATAATATGCTAGTGAGAAGCCCGAATGAAGTGAGCATAAAACTTATCTCGAAAGTACATTCAACAGTCCATAACACTACCAGAAGAAGCTCAAACTACTAAAGTGTTTATTCAAGGTCACTTTGAGCGAGTTTTTAGGTTTCTTGATTAAAAATGAGGGATTGAGGCCAATTCGAAAAATTATATTTTTCTTTAGATGAAGTCTCCATAACAGCCAAATGAGGTACAAAGTCTGACCGAAGAAATAACAACTATTGATCTCTTCGTCTCGAAGTCTCTAGATAAATGTCTCATATTCATTTAAACTCTCAAATAAGGGAAGAAGTTAGAATTGACTTTGGAGTGCGAAGAGGCTTTGTGGCCCTAAAGAAATACCTCATTCAGGCTCATCTATTATCCAAACTAATTTGAGGAGAGTCAACATAGAAAAAGTTATGGAAGTTGTTTGTTAACAACCTATTCGGAGGGACCAAGTCGAAAGCAAGATGATCCATATAAGTCCAAAGGGACATAACTTAAACTATGCCCTGAGGTTCGTTTTTCAATCTTAGAAAACGCAAATTATGAGACGTTGATAGTTGATCTAAACTGGCATAGGAAATAAAAGTGAAAGAGATACAAGTTAACAACATTTCTCAACTTATAGTGAAACAAAAAAATAGGGTAGCTTCATGCTAAGGACAAAAACACGTGATCTCTTTGTTTACATCCAATATATTGCATTGTCCTGAGGTCCTAACGTCAGTCTCTATCTCCATCAAGCGTTTCTTACCTTTGTCCTTCCTAGTTTTACCCAAGCCAAGGTAGCCGAATCATCACCGCTTTATTTGCAAATGTAGCTTGAAGATCAAAAGTGTCAAACGTCACAACAAAATAAATAAAAAAAAGGTTGAACCCCAATCTTGAAGGCTCCCACCGCCCCGCCTCTAGAGATTTGTGAAGGAGGTAAACTGTTAGATGTGCTTCAGCAGGTTAGGGAACAAAAGCTGCCTGTACACTGCGCCTACAAAGAGTCTAATTTTAGGTCTCAGGAATCGAACCCCTACATTGCGACTGTCAACAAGGCGTGAGATAACTTCGCTCCTGTCCTTTGCACCGCTGGGCTATGTCTCGGGGGGCAAACGTCACAACAAAATAGGATATATACTAGGAGCATGAACTAGGTTACTATTCACATCAGACTTGATCCTTCTACTTAGTACACTTCTATCAGAAGTTGTAATTAAGAGGCCTGGGCATAGACCATTCCAAATCAAATGGCTGCTTGGGCTTCCCAATCATGGTCTTATGTTGAAAAAAATGTTTCCAACCTCATAGTGAGCTCGAAATATTCAGGGATTTGAACTTAAGGATAAGAACACCAAAAACATTTAGGTCTGGGAGGTGTTTAAGCTTAAGGATTTTCTTGCGAAGATTAAGGTTGGGCTAGATGCCCCAAATGATGCCACTAGTTGTGAGAAGCTCCATCATGAATGGACATAAGCCACCTAAAATCTTTAAGCACGACTACCTTTCTCGACCTAATGGAATGTAGCCCATCCTTTCTCTTCGGGCCCTCAACTGACACCTTCCCTCTAGCCATGGCCATTAAGTTCTGTTAGTGCGCGTCTCTGATGCATTTCCAGTTCGAGATCGAATAGTTTTATGTATGATTTTCGATAGCATCAGTATATAAAATGGTCACTTTTATACAAGACAAAAAACTCCTATCATATGAAAAAAAAAAAAAAAAAAAGTTGTAGAGAAATGCATATTTATAACATACATGAAATTTGACACAAATAGTCCCATTTGCCTTGAAATAGTCTATAACATTTGTTTCTAAGCACAAAGATTCCTAACTTACGTACTTTGGTGTGAAGTCAATAAAAAGGCCAACGTGTCCTTCCTCTTAATTAGAGAAATTGCAATTGGAATCTAATCTTTGCAAAAGGATCTCATACTTTTATTTTTTATTAAAAAAAAAAATCGCTAGCGAGATCTTTTTTATTTCATGCTTTTTTGACTAAATTGATAACATTTTATTTCATGCTTTATTGACTAAATGGATAACATACATAATTTTCTTTGGTATATTTTGCGAACTATTGTGAAATAACTTATGTTTTAGCTCATAATTAATTAACTAACGTGTTAAAAGTTATTAGTTTTATTATTAAACTTTCATTTCATGATTATAATCAGAGAGAGAGAGAGAGAGAGAGAAGAAACTTGTTTTATTTATTTATTTATTTTTTTTTTTTTTTTTATTATTTTTTTAATGTGAAACAAAAACATAAGATTGATTGAATGTCATAAAATTATATACATCATTTTGTTATTTATTTATATTAATTTTTATTCAAACTTGTAACATCACAAAGCAATTACATACACTTAAAAGGACAATAATTTGACCTTTTTTTTCCTTCTAAAAAATTTAATTGATATGATTGTAATGTTTTATATATATAACATTACTCCACATCGTGAGCTTTATTACACAAGTTGTCGAATCCCTTAAAGGTTCGTGCTTGTAGCTTTCCATGCACTTTTCGAGGAGCTACTGTTGAGTAAACTTTTGGAGAGTGGCAAAAGTAGTGGTTTGCTGCCTTGCAACTCTGTGGATCATTATCCCTTCGCTTCTTTTTGCATCGTTGAATTGCTTCTCAAACTTCGAGACCCTTGCTTCACAAGTTGGGATCGTCTCTTGAAAGATATGGTAGTACCATGTAAAGGTGACTAAGGCCCAATACCTCATTCTACACTACTGACCTACATCTTACTAGGAAATATTCTAGTTGCTGTTGGGGTCTTTCATTCCTTCAAACATTTTGAACTCTGATAGAAGGAACTTTAGCGTATATCACATGGAATCTACTTAACCCAAATAAGGTTCGGTGATCATGGTTTATTCTCCTTGTTTCCTTGACCTCTTTACTTTTTCATTGACATTAAATAAAGGTTCGAGATTTATTTATACTTTTAAAAAGTGGTTAGGGACCCAACTATATTTCACCTAATTAAAATAAAGGGAGGACCAAAGACGCCCCAGACACATATATTGGGGATATCTGTGACAAGAAACAAACATTAGTGACATTTCCTCATTGAAAGCCATTTATGCCAAATTTCTTAATATATCGTTCTTCAGCTAACCCTTTACCGCTGTCTTTACCCAACTGGGTGGCTGATTGTGGCAGAACTCCATGGCCACCAACGACGAGCCGCCGCGCACCAGTACCACCGTTGATCTCATCAGCACAGGGACCACAATCTCTAAAGATTTTCCCTCAGAGTCTCTGAAATTACTCACTCTGTTTTACAACGGTACTGGGGTCTTTCAAATAATTAAACCTGAACATAATATTAAGGATTCTTTCTCTAACCTTATTGGTGGAGTTCTTAAGGTTATTACTATTGAACGGGGGAAAATCTCTTGCCTCCTCACCGTCAAACCTCCTACACTGGTACCCTTTTTGCTGCTTTCTTTGTATAGTATCTTCTATTTTTTAATTGCTTTGATGAAGATTTGGAATTTTTATATGACGATCTAACTTAATTCCACATTGTTCTTGAAAGGCCTGCCTTTTGGGTTTATAAACAATTGGACACCCTCCCCTTAAGTCAATTTTTGTTGTTGCGTTTTTATTTTGAAAGGTTTAATGAGTTTTCAAGAAAATCGAAGAAAACGAATGGAAACTTCCAGATTTTTTCCTTGTTGAGTGGTTTTAAAATTAAATGAAGAGATGTAATTTCTTGTGCGTGTATGTGTATTTTGTCTGTAGAAAGATGTGAAGTTTTCATACGTTCACGAAATTGTTCTAAAATGGCGAAAACATGTTTGTTGCAACACATCTCTTGTATGTGATTTTGACTGTTCTTCTGGCCCTCCAATCTTAACTTTTTGAAATTAATTCTAGTAATATTTTGACTAATTTGACATGACAGCATGCTTGGCTTAGGTGAGCTTAAAAGACAAAAGAAGCCAAAAGCCAAATAAATAAATAAATAATAATGATGATGATGAAAGACTTCTTTATGGCTTATTTTGGGAGTATCAATAGTGATACTGTGGAAGTAAGCCAGCTGCTTAGAAGAAGCAACGCCAAACATGCACTTGGAGCCCTTATAAACAAACTTCTAAACATGTTTGAACTATTTACTCTTACTTTTCATGGAAAAAAGGTACTTAGCTAGAAGTAATTCTTGCCTCACTGTATCTTAATTGTTTCTAATTTTGACAAATAACAAAAGTAATTTATTTTGAAAAACTTACTGGTTGACTTGCACGTATACCCTTTAAGCTTCGGTGAACATAGAATTAATGGCATATTTCAGTTACTGGGTTAAATTGTATATGTAGAATGGTTATGGCGGAATGCATGGAGGAGCAGTTGGGGCTGTGGCCGAGAGGTTGGCACTTGCTTGTGCTAGAACAGTTGTGGGAAAAGATAAGAATCTTTTCCTTGGAGAATTGAGCATTTCTTATCTCTCTGCATCTCCACATAATGTGAGTCTTTTGTGCTTTGTAATCTTAATTTTATTTTAGGTACAACACCTGGCTGATGTTCTTATTGCATATAGTCTATGCTGTGACTAGTTGTTACTTGATATGCATCCTATTGGGCATTCACGTATGTAATAGGCCACTCTAATATTCCTATCAAATATAAAGGATTTGATACAGGACAGAGATGTGTGTAAGAAAAACCTTTTAACCTCCTTCATCAATATCGAGAATATCTGCAATGTTAAGTGGACATTGAGGGTGAACCTCCTATAACTTTGTGTCTTTGCTTCAAATCTTTCTAATTTTGTTTTGATTATTGCTGCAATTGGAAATTGGACGAGGACTTAGTCCCTAACAGAACTTATTGCCACTGTGACGTGATGTGTTGTGTTTGAGATGAATTTCTGAAGGTCTTTTGAGCTCTTATCTTAGGGGCGAGCTGTGACTGCATGAGTCCATTTCATCGATTATCGTGGAAAGTGTTATTTTACGTTCTTTTCATGACTTCTTTCTTTCCATTATTCTCAAAACTCTCAATGCGCCATAGTTTTATGATAGTAAAAAATCATTCTTCCCTTATAAGTTTGTTTTGCTTATCCTTATTTCTTGTATCCTGTTGAAACCTATCAAAACAGACAATGCATTTCTGTGTATGACATGAAGTCCAACGGATAAAGGCTGGGAGTGGATGGTTGAAATTTTAATCCTTAATGACTTGACTGGAAATCCGTTTATACATGTAACGTTTCCTGATTATATGCCCCATGTCAAAGAAAAAAAAAATGAAAATTTGTCATTCATAACCTTTTCCTTTCAAATTATTTTTGACTCCACTTATGTTTTTCATAGCCGGTCTCAAACCGGAGTGAAGGAACTTTGTCAAATTAGTATGGCATAAATAATATTTTATCCGAACAATACTTATTTTTTCTTGTTTTCCATTACAGACTGAGGTAATTGTTGATGGGTCTGTGGTAAAGAGTGGGAGGAACTTGACAGTAGTTGCAATTGAGTTTAGACACAAGGAATCAGGGCGAGTGGCATTCATAGCACGTGCTACATTCTATAATATGCCCATTGCATGTTTGTGATCCAAACATCAAAGATACAGACATCTTGGTACGTTATGTTTGTTAACATGCTTGCTTTATAATTTATTCCTATACATTATGTTGCTGAAAAACTGTTCTTGCTATTTCTTATTAGGGAAGAGGTAAAGGTAAATGAAAATGGCAACAAAAATCCAAGTTATAGAAATTGGAACTTTATGTAGGATGGTTTTGAGGGTTATTTCCAAGTTAAATAGTCCTGCCTTTTCTCATTCATCAAAAATGGTCTCGAGTAAGTAAATATACAATGACCATCTCCTCATGGAGGCAATCACACTCGACCTTGACACTGCCAAAATTGGCGTGGGGGACCTACTCAAATTTTATTTCTTGGCCATTTCTCAACTTAACACCATTTTCCTGCAGATACCATTTAATCCATTTACGTATAAAGTAAGCAAATTAAGTTGGCCTTGAATCATTTTGAAGAAAAGTTGGACATCATGGCTTTTCTCTTTGCCTTCGCAATTTCAGCTGGAATACACTTTTTAGGTAGCTATAGACGGTAGAATGTGTCGGTTGGATCTGGAACCTTGAGACCACAAATACAATCTGGTGAGACGTGATTATAAATTTGGCACATTTTGAGTCCAGATGATCTCAGTAATGATCTTCTTAAAGAAAACTTAGAATACGTTCTGAAACAGGAGCATTTGTCACCTATTATAACGAACTTTAATTCACTTCCATAAAAATTTGGACTTCATTCTAGTCAACAGACACGTGCTCTCCTTTCTATTTTAAATTTACCAAATTTCATTCAAAATTCTATATGGATCAGAGCATGTTTGGTACAGCTTAAAACCTATTTAAAATCAATTTTTTGACCGTTATTTTACTATTTCAGCCGTCATTTTTGAATTATTCTTTCACAAGTAGGACTCACTTACCTTTAACGGTCAAAAAATCAATTAACAAAATACCTACCAAACAAGCACTCAATTTATCTGTCGCCAATATCTTTGCATTTTTGGAGAATCAGAAATTTTTTATGTGATTGAGATACGTTATAACACATGGCAGAAACACACATTGAATCAATGTTGCCAATATTCTTTAATTTTCTGTTATAGAGCTTTGTGGCTTGCAAGCTTGTTCTGTCTTTTGTATAAAGAATGTGTCGTTCTGAATATTTATCTGTGAACCGGTATACAGCTCAGTTCATAAAACCTTTGAAGCGACCATGGAAAAGAAACCGTGCAAACTACAGGCAAGAAAATAGAGTGTTTTCTCAACTTGTTAAAGAAACCGTGAATTATTATTGTTGCTTTAAATTTGATGCATCAAGAAAGATAAATAGAATAAGCGTCCGTGTTACTTGCTAAGGATGTTCTGTAATGATCATTTTAATAGTAATTTTGTGAGACTTGATTATTTTTTTGCGAAATTATCAAGTGAGTCGCTTATTTTATGAAATTTCTTCACGAAAGTTGGAAAGGCATGGATTACTACCTAGTTTATACTGTTACTCCTTTTTCCATTAGATTTCTGAGTTATACGAGGTTCCATTGTATTGGTACACAATGTGGAGTGTGTCGTTACTTAGAAGTATAGAGTCAATAATGTGGATGTCTTAGCCTGAATGTGATGTAGTGGCAGTGCTTAGCTTGAGTTGTGGATTTATTGTGGCAAAGCTTCTGAAAAAATGAGTTGTGGAGTGGCAATGTGTCTTCATTATTTTCTTTGGGAGGAAATTATACCCTTAGTGCCCTATTAAAGTTTCATAATTCCAAACATACTTTCGTCTTTATATCTCAAATTACTGTACACCTCCACCCAAAACCTACCCAAACAGTGAATCCTGTTTTTGCCGGTGATGGCAACAGAATCCCACTGAGGGCCTGCTGGGAGTTTCGGTGTTCTGGTTATGAGTGTTTTTTAAAAGTACCAATTTTAAGCGTTTATGAGCTTATTTTAAAGTAACGATTTTTTAGTGGTTTTAGTTGCGTTCTTTAAAACTATTTAGCCTATGATTGAGAGTTTATTATTCATCGGTTCTGAAAGTTTTTTAAAATAATAAAATTACATACATGTCCCTTGGGAAAATTTTCAGTTTATAATTTCTTATATGAAATTTTTTACTCATAATTGATATTTTATTTGTTAGTATTTTTTTTAAAATTTCATATAAGGTAATATTTAGCTTTAAAAACTATATTAAATATATTTATTTAGAATTTTTAGCTAATATTTTTTTACTTCTAAGTAATTTTACAATTATAAGCTAATTTTATACTTTTGAGTATTTTTAAGTGAATTTTTTTACTTACAAGTAATTTTTTATATTTTATAAGTGAATTTTTTTTATTAGTAGTGTTTTTTTTTTTTTAAATATAACTTTTACATAAAAGTAATTATAAAGTAATTTTTTTGCTTATAAGTAATTTTTTAGTTAATATATATTTTTATTTACAAGTTAGTTTTGAAGAAAATATGTTGGTTGAAAATAATTGTTTTATAGAGGGTAAAATTAGAATAGAATATGAGAAAGGACCAAAATTCGTCAATTTGTTGGGCTGAAAGAATCGATCAAAATTATACTACACTAATACCCAAAATTCAATACCCAAGAATCAATCAAAATTGGTACCCAAAAAAATTAGCAAGCACCGGTTCTTTCAACATCTCATGAATGGTGCCACTTAAAATCGGTCAAAACAAGGGGGAGGGGAGGGGGGGGGGGGCT